AGGAGGAGGAGAAGAAGGAGGAGGAGGAGGAGGGGAAGGGGAAGGGGAAGGGGAAGGGAAGGAGGGGAAGGGGAGGGGAAGGAGATGGAGGGAGAGAGGGAGAGACTATGAGTGAGTTTGAGAGAGACAGAGAGAGAACGTGCAAGCATGTGCATACATACGATTGGATGTGGGTTAGTGTGGGCAAGGTGCTTAGAAGGGTAATAAGAGTGGGTGGGTGAGGGTGGGTATAAAGGGTATTGGGAGGGGGACTGCATGTGGGTGCATCTTGGGGAGAGTGCATGCGTGGGTGGGAGGAGGGTGATGCACATGTGTATATGCATGTCTCTATGCATGTGCCCAACAATCTATTAAGTAAAATAACATTGATAAAGATTATACACCCCTTGTGCAGCTGTTGCAATACTGAACATTTAGAACTAAAAAATATTTGTCTTTATTTCTAGTGCAAGACTGATCTTCCTTCTACACTGCTTGCCTTATTGCTTATTTGACATACAATTTTTTCATCTAATCTTTTGTTAGCATTTTGTCAGGTAATGACAATTACAACTTAAAAGTTTTTACTACTGCCAAAAGAAAAATAACTGACAAGAATGATGTAAAAAAAAAAAAAAAAAAATAGAGATTCATTGTAAATGTTTCTTAACACTTATTTATCATGCATATTTGAGCATACATTTTAATGTTTGCATGCACATTTTGCATTCTACACAATCCTGAGCCTTATGCATTCATATTTAGAAATGTACATGAATGTGTATGGGTATGGATAAGTACATGTGTGGTGGTGTTTGGGGGTGCATATGTTAATCAGTCAATGGGGCCAATGCTGACAGGGCACACAGCCACATCCACTCTTCATCTTTAGCTACAAAGCTGTCCGATGGGTCCTCATCTCATCTCTAACTCCTCACAACAGATCTGATCAATCATCCCAAGACTCAATTTCCTGGGTCATCCTATGGGTCTCCTCCATCCAGAGTTATCTCAAGAGGAGGAGTTGGCAGTCCCATATTCTTCAAGTAACAGATTGTATGCCAGTCTCATTGTCCAACCTTTAATGGGACACACAGTCCTGCCAATTGTAACCCATAATTCAGTGCAAGAACCAGTGGCAAAGATCAAGTTGAGATTCCAAGGTAAAGGATAGCATCCAGATTTTGCTTCTATAAAGGAAGACATCAAGTATTAGGAATTTGAAAATATGAGGCTAAGTCCTGGAACATGGTCTTGGTCAAAGACATCTCCAGACCCAAGGGATTCACCTAATTTCAAAATTCTTTGAGAACTACCACCAGTCTCTAGAGATTCAGATAGGATGGCAACATCAGAAAAATCAAACTCAGTGACCTTCATATTGCCCAGAATTACTCGACAAGGACAATAGACAATATCTCTACCTATCATCCAATTCATGCACAAGTTCAAGTGTTGGTGCAGAAACAAAGGCATGCTCATTCCTGATTTCACAAGAAAGAAGCTAGAAGGGCACCCACCACACTTTACAGAATTTTCAGTACCATTTTACATGTGTGCTATTAATTAAACAATGCATGTTGGAATTCTCCTAAACCTCATGTACTAAGTCAAATGCCTCCTTGAGGTTGACATAGGCTACAAGTAGGCCACAATCATACTCACTACAATGCTCATCAACGTCTTAAAGAGCCAGCCATCCAGCCAGTTCTCGCTCACTCGCTCGCCCTCTCTCTCTCTCTCTCTCTCTCTATCTCACTCTCTCTCACTCTCACTCTCACTCTCACTCTCACTCTCACTCTCACTCTCTCTCACTCTCACTCTCACTCTCACTCTCACTCTCACTCTCACTCTCACTCTCACTCTCACTCTCCTCTCTCTCTCTCTCTCTCTCTCTCTCTCTCTCTCTCACTCTCACTCTCACTCTCACTCTCACTCTCTCTTGTGTGTGTGTGTGTGTGTGTGTGTGTGTGTGTGTGTGTGTGTGTGTGTGTGTGTGTGTGTGTGTGTGTGTGTGTGTGTGTGTGTGTGTGTGTGTGTGTGTGTGTGTGTGCACACATGCTCCATGTGTTGACCCCTATAATAGCCTCTAATACATATGTCTACTGTTATGTCATCCTCCAGCTTAGAGGTTGCCTCCTTAACTTCAGTCAGGATATGCCATTTCACACCAATGGGTGGATCCAGCACTTGGATCAAGACGCCACTTATAGCTAGCTCTCTGTTGCTCAACCTGATACAGCTCAAAGTATTCAGCCCATCGTTTATAGTGAAATAATTCAACCATTCACTGAGTTCACAGTTGTTTGAGAGGAAGGATTGAAGTTCAGCTTTCTTAGGGATAGCTGGCAGGACAAAGGTCATTTACAAAGAGCCTTCAACCTTTTTAGCAAGGTTCCTGATATACTGTTCCTCATCCATCAAGTATCCGAGTCTTAAAAGCCAGGGAATAATGCAAGCCCCAAATCACCATACATCTATGGCCTCCGACTCTTGCTCTTGAGTGGACTCCTTGGACCAATAAAAGTCCTGGAAAAGGAGACTATTCTGGATGGATTCAGCTCCCTAGCCAAAGGGACTGACTGACACATTGTAACCAATCACAACCAGATACTGCACTGAAATCATCCCGAACAATGTAAATATTTCAATAGCGACAGTTTTCAGTCATAAAAGTGAGTTTGGTGTAGAACTTCTCTCTCATGTCAAGTTTACAAAGGGTAAACAACAATGCGAAGAGACATGCATACAAATTTACATATAAACGCATGTACAGAGGTATACATATGTATGAATATGTATGAATGGGTGTGAGGATGTGAGGGAGTGAGGGAGAGTCAGTCAGAGTGTGTGCGCACGTGTGCGCGTATGCGTGTGCATGTGCGTGTGCGTGTGTTAGGGTATGTGAGGGTAGGGGTGGGTATGGGTGTTTGTGTGAGGGGTATGCATGGGGGTGTGTTTGGGTGTGTACATGTGTGTGTGTACATGGGCGTGAATGTGTATGTTTACATGAGTGTGTGTGCATGGGCGTGAATGTGTATGTTTACATGAGTGTATGTACATGAGCGTGTATGTGTGTGTGTGTGTGTGTGTGTGTACATGGGCGTGTGTGTGTGTGTATGTGTGTGTGTACATGGGTGTGTGTGTGTGTGTATGTGTGTGTGTGTGTGTGTGTGTGTGTGTGTGTGTGTGTGTGTGTGTGTGTGTGTGTGTGTGTGTGTGTGTGTGTGTGTGTGTGTGTGTGTGTGTGTGTGTACATTGTGTACATGTGTGTGTACATTGTGTACATGCGTGTGTACATTGTGTTCATGCGTGAGCACACTGTGTACATGTGTGTGTACATTGTGTACATGTATGTGTGAATGGGTGTGTATGTGTGTGTACATATGTGTGTATGTGTGTACATATGTGTGTGTATGTGTGTACATACGTGTGTATATATGTACATATGTGTGTGTATGTGTGTACATATGTGTGTGTATGTGTGTGTGTACATGTGTGTACATATGTGTGCATAGGTGTGTATGTGTGTGTGTACATGTGTGTGTGTGTACATGTGTGTGTGTGTGTGTGTGTACATATGTGTGTGCGTGGGCATGATGGTGTGTGTATGAGGGTGCATGGGTGTGCATGGGAGTACATGTGTATGCATGAGTGTGCACAGTTGTGCATAGGTGTGTAAGAGTGTGCCCCCTGTGTGTGTTTTTTTTGGTGTGTCTTTATGCATGTGTTTTTGTGCCTGTGTGAGACCATTGACTGCGGATATATGTACTGTCCACTGTACTATTTAATGAATGTTATTGTACAAAGATAGCTCTACAAGTGCTATGCTGCCAAGGAGTCAATTAGTAGGCCTGTGACTGATATCCCCATCCTTGAATTTCCTGGAAATTGTTTTTTTCCTAAATATTTAATGTTGATACATTTATCATTATCATTATTGACAGTATGATTATCATAATTTTATTAAAATACGAACAAGAAAAATAATAAAAATCACTCAGAAAATCAAAGAAATAGGATATACAGGTAAGACAGGTAAGAATATTAACAGACCCCTTGGTGAAAAATTACAAGTGGAGCCATCTGTGTAAACAATAATCAGATATATTTTTGCCATCCATAGTCACTGGGTTAATGAAAAAAGGTGTTTCCTTTTCCAAATGAAGAGGTGATATCTTTATGAAACCTACATATAAAAAGGAGAAAAAGCCAAACATCTTATCTAAAACACTAGGTAATGAAAACAAGAAATTTGTCTTCGCAGCCCGGGCCTAAATCTAGTCCCTTTTGACCACTACTTGGTTCTAGATGAGAGGAGCCAAGATAGATTAAGAGTAAGAAAAGGAAATTTAGTATTAGAGTGAAATAATAAAAGGATCAGAATACAAATTGAGAGAGAAACAAAAAGAGAATGTGATGGAAAGCATTCAGGTACTAAAGCAAAGTGAGACAAGGGAAACAAGGGAAATGTATTAAAAAACAACAACAGGAAAATAAGAACAGAAGACAAAATATACGAGAAAAAATAAAGAGTAAGAGGTAAAAAAAGAAGGAAAAAATAGAGATATAAAGAATGTCAGAAGGGGTGAACACAAAAAGCAAATAAAATAAAAGAGAGAATCAATGAAGAAGACAACATAAAAAGCAAGAAAGCAAAGACTTAACAGCATAGTTAAATACAAATGATTAAAAAAAAAAAAAAAAAAAAAAAAAAAAAATCCAGCTTTACATTTCTCTTCAAATCATCCAACGTCTCAACACCTTAACTTGAGCCCAACTTACAAACCTTGAATCCTACCTTACCAATCCTTTACCAAGTGATACCTTTTAAAACTTCCCCACTCACAGAGGAAAAAAAAAAAAAAAACGGAAAAACATTTACATCAGAAACAAATCTGAAACCCCTCCATGGAAGTTGAAGTGAGCTAAGTACATGAAGTGAGCTAAAATGCTAGTGCAACAAGTGTCTGGGGCACTTAAAGCCCTAATATGCATCACACACACATGGAGCAACTCACGGAAGTGTGGTTGGAGCGGTACACCTGCGCTGCCCAAGACACGTCAGGTGTGAGGCGGTACGGGGAGGCAGCTGAGCTGTTGCTGGATGAAGATGAGGACGAGAGCAAGAGGGAGGCTCCTGGCGAACCTGAGGCCGTCGAGCCCAGGCAACCACCACCTGCAGCACATTCCTGCTTTAGCCCTTAAGTGTGGAAAGCCTTTAGCCTCTAAAGGGGGTCATAATACAACCAAATTGTGATCTGTATGCTTATCTAAATAGGAAAATTATTAAAATGGACAGAAGTTAATTTATATCATAGTATGTTTATTGCATATTGTTGATTTACAGTCCAGGATGGTAATGATGATGGTACTTATAACAACAACATCAACACCAACAACAACAATAATAATAATAGAATCAATAACAATAACAAATATAACAACAACAACAATAATAACAATACTAATAATAAGAAGAAGAAGAAGAATCATATTAATCATAACAATTACTATAATATTAATAATAACAATAACAAAAATAATAATAATAATAATAACAATAACATTAATGATAAGGATAATATCAATAACAAAAGTAATGATAATAATAATAATAATTATTATTATTATTATTATTATTATTATTATTATTATTATTATAATAATAACAATAATGATAATAATAACAATAATAATGATAAAATAATATTAATTTATAATACATTAATAATAATATAACAATAACAAAAATAATAATATAATAATAATAATAATAATAATAATAATAATAATAATAATGATAATAATGATATAATAATAATAATAATAATAATAATAATAATGATAATAACAATAAAAAATAATAATGATTAAATAAAATATTAATAAAAGTGATTATGATAATAATAATGATAATAATGACAATAATAATAGTAATAATAATAATGATAATAAAATTGATGATAATAATATTGAAAATAATAATAATATAATAATAATAATAAATAATAATAATAATAATAATAATAATAATAATATAATAATAATAATAATAATAATAATAATATAATATAATAATATCATTATCATAATGATAATAATAATAATGATAATAATAATAACAATAACAAAAACTAATAACAATGAATATCAATATTATCATTCTAAGTATAATAATTATCACTATTACTATTATTAACATTATTATCATCATTATCACTATCACCTTCATAATTGTTGTTGTTGTTATTGCTCTTATCATCATCATCAATATTACTGTTATCATCATTATTATCATTAACATCAGCACTATCATTATCTTTATTATCATCGTAAACTTTAATATCATTATAATATTATCAGTAATAATAAAATAAATAAAAAAAATAAGTAATAATGATAATGATAATGATAATAATAATAATAATAATAATAATAATAATAATAATAATAATAATAATAATTAAAATGACAAGTTTTATTCCAACAATTTCTTTTCATGTAAATATACCATTATGCATTATGTATCGTTTATCATGGAATTACACTATTAATAACATAACATAACATAAAAAATAAAATAAAATTAAATGAGTAAAAAAAGTCAAAATCAATAGTGACATCAAAATAAAAGCACTAACCAAAACAAAATACCATAAGCAAATATAAAGCAATGGTGCTTATAAACAGAGAAGGAGATTACTAACCCCTTCTTTGCCGAAATCAACAAGGTCTACTTGAGTAAGCCTGACAAGCCGACGACCATAAGGTTTACTAGTGTAAGCCTGCTAGGTAAAGGGCCATTTGGAGTGCAGGAATGTTGTTGCAAGAACAACTTACAACTTGACTATGAATTTATTCCCCCTGTTAAGGCCAAGTCAAGGCATCATTTGGGTATGGCGAACTATTTCATAATGCTTTGGGCACATATATAGACTTATATGGTATGACATACTTGGAAAAGGACAGATGGCCTCGACAGCTGAGCGCCTAGTTACAAAGACGACTGCAACATATGACAGCCCCTTCTCTCTACATGCTTCCCAGTTCCTCCCTACCTTCCTATGCCAACAGACCCAGTCTACCGTGTACTTGCCTGATAAAAAATTCTATGAAGTAGTTACTTTAAAGTCTTAGTAATCATTTATTTTGTTATACAATATATTTCATTAGCATTTGTGAATTCTAAGTTAACCTAAGAGATGTGATACCATGATCCAAAACCTTTGTAACACCTACATCTATGGGAACATTGAAGGGAGAGGAGAAGGAATAGGAGTAGGAGAAAGAGGAGGAGGAGGAGGAGGAGGAGGAGGAGGAGGAGGGAGGAGGAGAGGAGGAGGAGGAGGAAGAGGAGGAGGAGGAGGAGGAGGAGAGAGAAGAGAAGGAGAAGGAAAAGGAGGAAGAGGAGGAGGAGAAGGAGATGGAGGAGGAGGGGAGGAGGAGGAGGTGGAGGAAGAAACTGAGGAGGTTGTGAAGGAGACTGGGGAAGTGATTGAGGAAACAGAAAGATCAAAAGGAAGAGGAAGAGGAAGGGTAAGAAATAGAAGAAAATGGAAGAAACAGCACAGGAGAGAAAGTGGGAGAGGAAAACAACAATCACAAGGGTGAAATAGAAAGAAAAGAAGAATAGAAATAACAAGAAAGTGGAGATTTTAAATAAGTATAAAATAATATAATCTTATAAATTTCAAATCATTCTAACTTTAGGTCTGAACAATAGTGAATGCAATATTGAAGTAGGTCCTTCCTCTGTACTAAATAAAAGAATTAATAAAGTATAATAAAAGCAAAAAACACTGATACTTTAAAAATATGATAATGTATTTTTAGATGATTGGTAAAAGAAAAGGTTATTTGCATGCAACTTTTTATGTGTTTTTCACTGCATTTGGAAATAATTGCTTCATTTGATAAAAAAACAGAAAAAAAAAACTTGAATGAAGTGTGAAAAGAAAGGAAATCTAATTTCTACCGCATCACAACTCAAGAACATCTGTACATATTCAAGTGGAAGAACCCAGACCCATTAAGCCAGAAGTATCTAAGACAATTTAACCAGTATGAAGCACAATTCATTGAAAGCCTTTTCTTTCACACAAGGAGAGAATACTATGATATCTAAATTTACTTTATCATTATTGCCATTGAGAAGGCATTTATACATATGCTTTCTACATTTTTTCTTTAACCCAGTGCCGACTTGTAAAAAGTTTGGCAAGTGGACGTATGGACGGGGTTGTTGGCGCGCATCGGCAGTTTCCCCTGTTTGCGCCCAGCTCGATCAATAGTTTGCGAGTGACATCTAGCACCTAAGTTTTTACTTTGCTATGATTTATGAAAATATTACAATTTTGAAGGTTTACCTTCATTATAGGTGCCATTGCTTAAAATCTTTATCATATAAATGAAGCCGCTACTATCGGAAAAAAACAAACTCCGTCCGACGTGGCATGACATGATGCCACCCATCTTTCGGTCCACAACAGCCATGGCATGTATGTACATGCCATCCAGTGCCAATGGGTTAATAATCTTTATACAAAAAATGGCTCCACTGGCACTTTGTCACCAATGAGTTAATTACAAGGTATGACTGACTTCACCCATACACCTCATTAACTGAACATTAATTATTACATTAACATTCCTTTTGTTAAAGTTATAATAATAATAATAATAAAAATAAGAATATGAACATGAATAATATTGATAATTGTTTTTAAAACAAAAAACTAAAGAAATGGGGTACAATTGTGAACCAAGCAGGCCTAGTAGCTGACTCTCAAGTAGCTAAGCACTATGCATAAGCGAAATTAAGAAAGCACAGAGGGTAGTGTATGTATCTGGCACCAATACAGTTAAATAACAAGTGACTTGAGTTGTTACTGGGGCATCAGTCTATATTCTTACTTCATTGTGAACCACCAATAAAACATTTTGATGTAAATAAGCCATCAAGTTATCCATTTCTAGGTGCACCTGACACCACCTGTTTACCACAATACTTGAATTTTGGGGGGAAAAGGTTTATTTCTTACAGTATCAATATCATTAAAAATAAACCTCTTCTTTCCAAAATTTGGAAGAATAAGCCAAAAAGTTAAAATCAAGTAGGCCTAGGTGCCTAAGCACTTGTGGAGCCATCTATGATTAACCAAAATTGAAAAACTAAAATCATAGTGCATCAACAGGAAAATCCCTTATTTGTGGTTTAGCTTCCTCATCATATTTCTCATGTGGAAAAAAAGTTAATTTCAAATCCTATCAAAAGTAATAAATAAACTTCATAGAGAATATCCAAGTTCAACATCTTTCGACACAAACAAGACTTAATCTTCAACCTAAATATTCTTGACCTACAAAACCATAGGCTTGATCATCTGGAATGAGTAAATGTCACAAAGTGTGAAAAATCACATGCAATTCGAAAATAATATATATATTCATATTTTTTACTGCTTGGAATAAAAAACAAACAATTAAAAAAAATTAAGATATACTTTTCAGATAATACTTCTCAATAAAACTGCATTCCCAGTATGTATGTTTGTAATGCATGGTATTGGCCTACTGTCCCCTTACGAATCCCCCAACAAGCCCCTCCCTCCCTTGATGTGACCCAGCTGCCTCCAAATCACTGTATAGTAAAAGTCTGAATCCCCACTGCACATCTCTACTTAAAGGGTAAATACATAATATCTAAGCTGTGACGACACTTCAAATCTTAGGAATGTAAAATGTTACCCCTGAAATTTGTACACAGGAAAAAAAAAAAATGTTCTAGTGAGGTGCAGAATAAAATGAGAAGATAAAGATTTGTTACATAAAATCACTACATCTTACATTAACATCATGAACATCTATGAAAATAATCAAAATTCCAATCTGAAGCCAAAAAGCTTGTTTTTTTATTAATTTCATTATGGTAATACTTCATTACATCAAGAGTCTATATCTCAACTGCCAAGATCAGGTCTCTTGTACTGCAACCCTGACAATTAGTATGTAGTAATGAATGCCCATCTTCACCTTTACTAAAAGAATTTCCCATCATTATTGTGTCACAAAAGAAAATAACAAAGATTTATCAACCTATAAAAAGAAAAACAAGCTGCATGGCTTACAAAACTATCTAATTGCATGCAACATTTATGTGAAAGCATTTAAACAGATATCATGGTTGATCTTTATCATAGCAAAAATTAAGATATTAAAAAGGTATAATTATAATATTAAGAATAAATGTAAAATCTACCTTAATAACAATAATTATAATATGACCAATAATAGAAGTAGTAATAATGATAATTTCCTCTGCTAAAGTGTGGCTGTGATACTAACATAATATACCTGAGTCGTGGTCGTGGTCATCGAGGTCAGCCGGCTGCACCGTCAGGTCCCCCTTCCTCTCTTCGTCCTTTTCTTTCTCCTTATTATCATCTCCAACGTTCTCCTCCACCTCCTCTTCCTCTCTTTTGTTCTGCTCTATTCCTTTAAAGATCTCTTTAATGTTTTCACCCCTACCACTCTCGCTATCTCCTTTTCTTCCTCCTCCTCCTCCGTAATATTCTCTTTCTCCATGATTGGTTCCTCCTCCAGCATCTTCCATCCCTCCTCCTCTTCCTGCCTCCCCACCCCAGTCCTCAAGGTGCTGTATCTCCTCCTCATCCTCCCCAGTAACCACGATGGTGAACCCCCCCAGGCGGGACTCCAGCGCCTGCTCTAGCTGGGCTGCTTCAGGTGAGAGTGAGCCACAGCCACTCCCTCCACGGCTGCTACCCTGCGGACTCCCTGGACCAGTCACCTCAATCACGATCTGAGGTGGTGCCACATGGGGTGTCACTGGGGCAGGAACGCTCTCCCCCTCGGTGCTCATCCCTCCTCCATTGTCACTGTTCTCTCTCTCAGGGACAACAGCCAGGCTTGAAGCAGAATGTCCTTGATGGCCCAGTGGCCCTCCGCCCTTAGAGGCAAGGTCCACTCTGTCTGAGCCCTCACTGTGCTGTAGGACACACCCTGTTATACCATAACACACACCCAGCCCTTCTCACACTGCACACTACGTCTCACACTCTCCATCCCACTGAGACACACTCAACTATTCAGGTATTCTTAAATGCATAAACTCTCTCTTTAGGAATTTGAGATTACAGCCTTCTTCTGGCTCCTCAAATATATCTAGAAGTATTTAGTCAATGAAAAAGTGAGGTAATGCACAATAGAGACCTCTGGCTCTAAAAACATCTCTATTGGCGTACTAAAAAGTCAGAAGATAAGCCCCAGACTTTAATTGTCTTCAGTCAACTTCCATTATATACCACCTGCATCACTTTGCCTTGTGCAATGCACTACAGTAAGCTAATGCTATTGCTACATAAGGCTACTATAAAAAATAATGATAACAGCACTAATAATGATAATCAAAAATATCAATATAACAGTGATATCAGTTATAAAGCTAATAATAATTATTATAACAATAGCAGCAATGATGATGACGATGAAGTTAATTGAGATGATGACTTTGATGATGATGTTGACAGCGATGGTGGTGGTGATGATGGTGATAGTGATAAATGGTGATTGTGGTTTGTGATGGCAATCACTGATGTTGTTGTAATTGTTGATGTTGTCATTTTCATTTGTTTTTGTCACTGTTGTTACTTTCATTTTAGCTATAATAGCTACTTTTGTTAGTATTGCTACTTAGGTGTGTTTACTGTTGCTTTTGTTTTTGTTATTGTTGTTTTTGTTATTGTAATTGTTACTTTTGTGTTTATTATTGTTGATTTAGCTTTTTATCTTTACTGCTTCTGTTAGTTATTATTAGTTATTATTGATGATAGAGTAGATGATGATGATGCAGGTGGAGGAGGAGGAAGAGGAGGAAGAGGAGAAAAGAGGGGGAAGAGGAGAAAAGAGGGGGAAGAGAGGAAGAGGAAGAGGAGGAGGAGGAGGAGGAGGAAGAAGAGGAGGAGGAAGAAGAAGAGGAAGAGAGAGGAGGAGGAGGAGGGAGAGAGGAGGAAGAGGAAGAGGAAGGAGAGAGGAGGAGGAGGAGGAGAGGAGAAGAAGAGGAGAGGAGGAGGAGGAGGAGGGGAGCGGAGAGGAGGAGGAGGAGAGGAGGGAGGTGTGGGTGGTGAGGGTGTGGGTGGTGAGGGTGTGGGTGGGAGGTGTGGGTGGTGAGGGTGTGGTGGTGAGGGTGTGGGTGGTGAGGGTGGGTGGTGAGGGTGAGGGTGTGGGTGGTGAGGGTGTGTGGTGAGGGTGTGGGTGGGGGTGGTGGGTGTGGGTGTGAGGGTGTGGGTGGTGTGTGGTGAGGGTGTGGTGAGGTGTGGGTGGTGAGGGTGTGTGAGGGTGGGTGGTGAGGGTGTGGGTGGTGAGGGTGTGGGTGGTGAGAGGGTGTGGGGGTGTGAGGGTGGGTGGTGAGGTGTGGGTGGTGAGGGTGTGGGTGGGTGAGGGTGTGGGTGGTGAGGGTGAGGGTGAAGGTGAGGGTGTGGGTGAAAGTGGTAGTGATTGATTGATTGATTGAATGATTGGTTGATTGATGATGATGATGATGATGATGACAACTATGACTGTGGCAGTGACAGTGATGGGGGATAACTGCAATGGCAATGTTAATGACAATGACAGTGAAAATGAAAATGATGATCATAATAAATATTTAAAAAAAGAAAGAAAAAAAACACTGCTGGCATCATGTTAATATAGACTACATGCCTACCCTATTGGTTACCATCCTTCTCCAAGAACTGAAGCAAAAACTGTGCCATGATTACCTTTGATTCTTGGACCTCTTGTTTAGGAACTGACTGGTGCGGAGACTGTCTGTGACCTCCATCTCGTCTCCCTGGAAAAGAAAGGGATCCAAAGAATTCCAAAGATTACTAAATCAATACAGACATTTTGTTTTTACTTTCTACTATGAGAGAGCCTTGAAAAAAAGGCAATGATTATAACAGCACAAGTTATACAAAATTATTTTTTTCCAAACATCAATATACAAGTACTTCACTTGTCTTCCCACCCCCCCCAAAGGCGACCACAGATTATACTTATTTCAAAACAAAATATCAACTAACCCGACTGGAACGGTTTATAGCGCAGGAAGCCGTCTTTTGTGCCGTTGAGGAAGTATTGTACAGATTCTTTGAATTTTGCAACACGAGGGTCACTTATGGAGCCAAATATCTGTGCTCCAACACTAAGCAAATTATTGACATCACATCTGTTGACTATGAACTTGACAACTGCTCGTATTACTTCCTCTTGTGGAGTCTGAATAAATATAATAAATATACATTCAGACAGATAGATGCTAATTTATACAGATATAGATATACATATGTAAGTTCATGTAAACATAAAATAAAAAAGAAAAAAAAAATATATATATATATATATATATATATATATATATATATATATATATATATATATATATATATATATATATATACATGCATACATACTTGTATACAGATGTCTCTGCGACTACTTAGCCATAAAGGAGTCACTTACATATGCATATATGCACATATATGCATATATACATGCACCTACATTTGCATTACTAATTATTTTAGCAACTTTATCAAATTCAATTACACATATCAAACAGGTTATATATAATCATTGAGAGCAGCATACCTGTTGTCTGTCATAATTTGGAACTAATGCAGCATAGAAATCTCTGAGATCAGATTCTGTGAGTAAATAATTTCCTAAGAGCGCTGCCAGCAAGCAGAAATAGTTGCGTTGTAGACCCAAACCTCTCGCCACTTCATCTAGAATAAACTCTTTGGTTTCCAGCGACCCCTGAAAAGCAGAGGTAAAACATAGGAAAATTTCATTAATTATACATGGTTCTCAAACACAGACTCATACTCCTATTCACAAGCACAAATACACATATGAAGCTATGCATGTTCAAAGGCATTCTCAGAAAATACATCTATTAAATGTTTTGTTAGTTTAAACTTGCATCTATACCACAGATTATTGATATGTTCACATTAATGCACTATTATCATTAGAGGGAGTGCATTAACACAAATATATCAATGCCTACATTGTAGATGATAGTGTAAATGGAAAAAAAAAAAAATGTAATGTACTGTCAGGCAATTGGTGGTAAAAAAAACATTTAATTACATACCCTCATATATGGGGACCCTTTTTTATTACATAACTCTTAAATATTCATAAAACATTCAAAATGCACTAGATGACTGGATCAGATACATCTTATGGTATATACATGTATTACACTCGAGACCTATAACAACAATTAATGAACATTGAAATTTTTCTGTATCATTTAATTTTAGAGAAGGCATTTTACAGCCTTTGTTATTTTTCTTTCTTATCTTTGTCTATACTATCTTTTGTGTTATCTTTTTTTTACATTTACTTCTCTGAACTTTCTCTAAAGTTCTATTCTATGAATAACAAAAAAATACAAAATAAGTACCAGTATGAGAATTTGGACTAAGGAACCTATAACATATATGGATATATTCAACCCAATGCCACCGGGAAAATGTTTTGTTCACTTTAGTGTTGTTCTGTTCATTGTTTCTGCACATAGATGTCTCTGCTAGTACTTAGTCATAAAGGAGTCACTTAGTAGATCTTGTGACCTCACCATTCCTTCAAGTAGCAGGAAAACACATTTTTTACTAATACTTTCAATAATGCTACAGTTATTTTTGTTATAAACATTATATCAACTATAATGTTATTGATATCACTAAAAGCAGTACCATTTACTAGAAATTATCAAAAATCAAGGAAAAGGGTAATAAGGTGAGACAGGTACTTCTTGTAACTGGCTCATTGATGACCTAGTACTTGTGGAGCCATCTATATATAAAAACAATGACTAAATTAAACATACAGTGGGCATGGTATCCCGGCAGCATGTGGTTCAAACAATTTCACTAATCAATTGTGGAACTAGTGATTGTAACCAAGTTTAAGGCAGAATAAAAACAATAAGTAAAAAAAAAAAAAAATTTAATTCCTCCCTCCCACCCAATAATTACAAATCTAATAATAGCAAGATTGAAAAAGGCTGAATCACATTATGCCATCTTTTTTAGTCTAAGTTGGTGGGAGGAGCAGTCCGCAAAGTTGCAAAATAATAAGATAAAATAAATACATACACAAACAAAAATGAAAAACGAAAAAGACTCCAAATCCCCTACCTTGTACGTTAGTTTGAGCTGGTGTGAGGAGAAGTAGCGTGGGGGGTCAAATATTATGTATTCTGCATCTTCCGCCATGAGTCCATGGTAATTGTTTTCTCGACAGAAGGCAATTACCTCTTGGTGGTGGTCGTCCATGGTGCAAAGCTGCCATTGGGTTGTGAGAACCAGTGTGTAAGGGAGTCTTCTGTATGACACATGTTTAAAAATGTTTGCTGCAGTTTGAAAGATAAAATTTATAGTTTGTACCGTTCTATACAGCAGATGAAGATAAGGATGAGGACGAGGATGAATATGGTGATATCATCAATATCAGCAAAATCAATCTTATGATCATCATAATCATCATTAAATGAAAAAAAAAAAAATAATAATAAATAATAAATAATATATAATAAACAATAAATAACAAATAATAAATAAGAACAATAAAAAACAATAATAAATAACAATAATAAATTATTATAGTAATAATAGATAATAATAATAATAATAATAATAAATAATATCAATGATAATAAATAATAATGATAATAATAAATAAAATAAAAAGCATAATGATAATAATAATAATTGAAAAAAATTATAATAATAATAAATGAAAAAACAATAATAATTATAATAAATAATAATGAATAAAAAATAATAATGATAAATATCAATAATAAATAATAACAATAATAATAACAATAATAAAAACTTGAAAAACTATAAAAATAATACTCACAATAATAACAATAACAATAATAATAACAATATCTTTTTTAACCCATTGGCGCCGGGTGTCACGTACGTACATGCCATGGCTGTTGTGGACCAAACACCGGGGGCATCATGCCATGCCCATTCCCGCCCTACTGGCTCGTCGGACAGAGGTTGTTTTTCTCCAATATAGCGGCTTCATTTATATGGTAAAGATTTTAGGCAATGGCACCTAAGTGAAGGTAAACCTTCAAAATTTTAATATCTTTATAAATTTTAGCAAAATAAAAGCTTTTAGGTACTATATGTAGCTCGCAAACTACCGATCGAGCTGGGCGCAAACAAGGGAAACTGCCGGTGCGCGCCAGCAAGCCCGTGCATACGTAAACTTGACAAAATTTTTACCCGTCGCTGTTGGGTTAAGATAAAAAGAAATAATATAAAATAACATCAATAATGAAAATTATGATGATAATAAGTGTAATGATGATAAAGATGATGCCGATAATGATAATGATAAAAATACAATAATCATAATAATTACATTACCATAACAATAATAAATGAAATACCAAATGAAACTGATGCAAAAGAAAACAAAGAATCTGCAGAAAAAAAATGACACGAAAATACACTTTCACTAACCACTTGTATATTAAGGTGGCGCAAGGCCATGCGCAAACAGGTCCGCAAGCCAACAGGAGCCACCCACCACACCTTGGGCGGGGGAGTACCCTTCACTGTCACATGTTTCAGCACCTGCAAAACAAGAGACAGTTATTGATATCTCGCTTGATGGTTAATTTCTAAGGGCACTGCAAGCAACATGTTCAAGGTTTTACAAATTCTATGAGCTTGCATTCCTCAGTGAACATATTTTTTTCTTTTCTGAAGTCTACATCAGTTTCTGGATAGGACTGTAGTTTTCTATCCAATTCTGATCTATGAATATCTGTTGATGCAATTGGAAAAGGCATACTGAGTATGGAGGGGAGGCATGTACATATATGCCATTCATTTTATGGTCCCCAAATGGGTTGGCTGGCTTCCTCCTTGTTTCTCAGACCTTCAAGGTTCTGCAGGTCAAAATCTCACACACACTCACTCTCTCTCTCACACACATACAGACACACACACACCATTAGCATGCATGTATGCGCAAACGCACACGCACAAGTGCACACACACACAGATATACAGGCATGCACTCACCCACACACCCATACACCCACACACACAGTCCAGAGCCTGTACTGCTTGTTCCTTGGTGAAACTGAGAACACCAACCAATTACTTATTACTTATGACTTATAAAACAATCAATCAAAATATGCATAATGCCAAGTGCAAGACCTGTATAATTAAAAACCAACCATTGATAAATCTAATGTTATGCAAAATAGCAAACTTAGATTTCTTTCAGCAGAGATGTGTTGATTTTTAAAGCATGTATGATACTAGTAGTTCAAGATAAATGAATGCATAATAGCATAGGGTTGATTGTCTAAAAATCATAATTTTTGTTGTTTTTATCAAATTTCAATAGTCACATCAGCCTTTTTTGCTGGGTTAACATAACCTACATGGCATAACCACTGTGATTCTAC